CCCTGTTGCAAAGGAAAAAAAAAAAAGAGAAAAGTAGGACAGGGAAAAGGAACACTGTGGTCCAGAAAGGTATTTCACTATTAGAGCATCTTCTGAAAACATAAAGCAAAATTGAACAATTCACACTCATAAGAACTGGGAGTAAGAGGAAGAGTGGAAACATAGAAGGAAAGCAGCTTTCTATATTCGTATGGAACAACTTCTATACTCTTCTCTGTCAACACCATGTCTTGGTCTTATTGCTGCCCACTGAAAGCAACAGGGTAATTGATGTAAGAAGTAAGATGCTAAGAACAGGATTTTTAACTCAAAGTACGACTATAACAGGTAATACTAACTTTAAAACACAGATGACCTGAATGATTTTGCAAGAAAGAATTTATTTTTTACCCCAGTCTTTGTGTCAATCGCCTATCAGGAACATCTAAGCAATTTGACTCCAACAGTAGGGTTCATCTGAACCAAGAAACTCAACCCTCTCACCCCAACTTTGTCTTCACATAATACATATTAAGGATTCTGCCCTCCCCCCCGCCCCTGCAGAACTGATTCAGGAAAAGACTGAAGCACATTTTCAAGTCCCACTGACCTGCGCAAGACATGAATGTACGACATTTCATTAACAGTAATACACGATAGAACAAGGACAAACACCTGAGCACATGCAGAACTGGTTCTGCAGTCGAAAGTTGTGAGGTCAACTTAAGTCAGTGCCACGTGCGAGACAGGGCTTACCAGATCAGGTGTAGCACCACAATAATGTGGTAATACTGCTTTTGGAAGTTTTGGAAGCAGCCTAGTATCTGTTTCTTGCTGTATATTCCATTGCAAAAACAGTAGCCACACATATAAATTTAGCAAGACTTGAATGCATGGTTAAAGTTAAGCACTCACTTGGTGTAGCACGTCAACTATTTCCAGGAAGGATCTTCAAAGCTTACTTACAAATGTCACTGCAAGCACCAGGAGACTAAAATTTCATCAGCAAATATGACCAAGCAACTGCTACCTCTGCAGCAGTTTAACAGTCTAAGCCTCTCTCTCTGTTATTTTCTACTTCTTTAATCAGTGTCTCTAACAGTACAGCAAATACATCATAATGATCTTTGATGTTCAGACATGGACTGCAAGGAACAAAATGGCCTGGAGGAAAAAGATAATGCTTTTTGAAGCCTACTTCTGCTACTACAGAGAAAACTACAGATAACAAGGCATAATGAGAATTATTATTTTGTGTGTCATTGTAATTTTATATTTATAACATGAGGTAATCATCACCACAGAATGACTCTCATTCTAATTGAAAAAGACGTGACAGCTACCACCCATTTTAAACGTTTCTGTTTGTTTTTACATTTTGGGAGGCTTCCTTTGCTATAAAAGAACACTCAAATAATGTGAGCTGTTTTATATCAGTTGGGCTGCTCATTAAGTTTGGAGGCAGCACAGAGAAACACTTGCCCTGTTCCCTCCCTAGTGTCAAAACATGTATACAGCCACTTCAGGATCCATAAGCTACGTTAATCAATCTTGCCTATTTTCCCCTCAAGTGCTGACAAACTGTAACGAGGCAATGCTCAGATCACTTTAAAGATATTTAAAATACAAGTCATAATCAAAACAGCAGAAACAGCAGCTCAGTAACAGATGCAGCTAAGGCATCCCAAGTCCTCACCACGACTCCACCAGCCAAGGGCCGGCAGCCGCCTGGCACACAGTGAGGCAGCCAGGACAGCAGGCACCTGCATGGTGGCTCGGAGGAGGCATCACCACCTCCTACTCGCTTGACTCTTCCACGCTGTATTTTGGGGTTTCTTTGAGAGATGAGCCATGCATGGTGCTTCGGAGTATTTTTTCCACGTTGTCAGTGATGGACAAGAACAGTCTGGAGAAATGTAGATTGCAGAAAAGCTGTGGCTGCCTGTGGGGGTAGGGGCTTTCTCACCTGAGGCAGAACACTACTTCTCTGCACGGTCTGCAAGGCGCCCGTGACGGGCGAGGTGCTTATTGCCCATTTCTTCACTGAGGACTGAAGATGGAGAAGCCGCTGAACAAGTTTGCCTGAAAGTCCCACTGCAGCAGAGCAGATTATACTCTTACACGTACTACAACGCAGAGGACCTGATTATAAACCATCACCATGTGAGACAACTCCGTTTCCGAAGCAGTTCAGTCACATTAGTACACAAATGCACCTGTGCTAATAGCTTGCCTCTCAAATGACCTGATTAGTACAGCACGTCAGCTCAGTGTTGTCGCACAGCATCCAGCCACAGAGTGGCTTTCATCCTGCTAGGCCAGAATACAGATGGATCTGGAACAAAACACTCGGCTCCTTGCTTCAGCAAAGCTGGTCTTCACAGATTTCTACTTCTTTATCAGTTCCCGCATGGGGAGTTTTTGAAGAGATCCCTCTTTGCTCTTTAGCCTAGGACAGAAGAAGTTCTTGTTCAGAAGCTCTTTGCAGGAGAAGAGAGGAAAAGCAGAACCATTGGGGAAAATGATCCTGCTGCTCAAAAACAATCAGAAGTAAGAAAATACTCATGAGGAGAAATGGTTGTGAATTGAGGAAAACAGAGAAACAAGGACTGGCAGCCTCTTCTTAGTAGCCTAAAAGGAAGGAAACCACTTCTCCACTCTACTGTTTGAACAGTTCATTGTCTCACTGTCTGAATAGCCTATTTATCATTAGCATTCATAAAACAAAACAAAAAAAAAGGCAAACAAAAATAAATTGTTTTTCCTACATCAACCTCATTTAATTACTGAAGAGTAGTTTGAATTGTTGATCTCCTAATGCTTTGGTGGGATTGGCAGCCAGTCTAGTCCAGTCAGGCTTGCCTGACTGTACGAGAAAAAGAAAATAAAATTAGCGTAGTCAAAGCCAGGGATAATCTAGGAAGTATTCACAATAATGAATAGAGTTGGGTGACAGGTTGCTTTAGCTGGGAGTTTCTGATATCCAGTCTTGTTACAATGTGTGTGGGCTAATAAATAAATATTCACAGAAGTTTAACAGGATATTTCAAGGAGATTTACAGTCAGCTCAGTAATGTCTATATCACCACACTGACATGCTGTCTTTGCTTTTGCATATCTTATAAGAAACTTAATGCCAGCTTATATAGCAAGAAACCAGACAATCATATATACATAGGTCTGTGCATACTGAGATGTGTATGATGAAAATAGCCCATCCTGTCTCCTGGGAGCGTAAGTCTCCAGACAACATTGCAGCCAGTCTTACTATTGGACAAAACCTAGAATTTTTTATTTTTTTTTTAATGACAAAAACTGGCTCAAAGCAAGCAGGCAACTATTAATACAGTCTGGGATATCTGGGCATCTCCACCAAGGACAAAAATGGGACATATATTAACTATTTAATCAAGTGCACACGCACTCTTTTCTTTCCAAGGAATGCCAATGTTTTAAGGGAAGTTTTACATCGTCACGAAACTGGTAAGGCTCACAGCATCATATAATCACTCTGGTGTGCTGTCTCGCTGTTCTGTTACTTCCCTTCATTTCTTGCCCTCCTGCACTAGGTTGAAAAAAAAGTAAAAAGAATGGGATGTGCTTGTTCACAGTTAACAAAAAGTCCCTTACTGCAGCAACAAGTTTAATAATTTTACCTAGGGAGACAAAGTATGTGAAGAAGAGCTATAAATTCAGACTGACAATTGACAAGGTACTATAATGCTGCTTTGCAAGGCATCTTATCTGCCAAATCTACTTTTTCACTCCCTATCAGCTCATAGCAACAGCTGCATTTGCCTCTTACTATCACAGCTTTTTAGACCACGGCATGATCTAACTGTCTAACCAAGAAGCACACCTCTGTCAGCTGATGACTTGGCATCACATAATGGGCTTCTGTGCAGAGAACTGGGAAAACTCAAGTGCAGTATGTTAAAGCGCTGTCAAATTTTTCTTTCACAGACAGGCAAAGCAATCAAGTGGTCCCTTCTCACTTCTGATGAATTGTGAATAATGAAGGGATAGTCAATGCCTACATTGCACTCACAGGTGGTATTTTGACTGTTCTCGTATAAACTTGCTCGTGTGCCAAGAGCAGTACAGCCAGGCAGCATGGAGTTCAGGATCCCAGCTGGATCTGCTGTGTATGCTGAAACCACAGAGCCACAGCTAAACATTGTTACTGATCCCTAAACTAGCTGGTTTACTGCCTGTTTGGATGTGTTTACACTAGCTGTAGTCACATTTCATTATGGCATAGATACAACCTTTGAGAGCAGAAGCTGAGCAATGTTACAAATAGCTGACATTTACACATTAACAGGAAGGCATAAGTATTTGACAATAACTCTTTACAGTACTTGTATGCAGGAGGAACTACAGTCATTTCCTAGGCTGAATAATATGACTTCATTTCCTCATTTTTACTATGTAGTATTGACGTTATTTGCATCAGATGAAATAAAAACCCAGCACCTCCCTGATGCTGTCCTGTACTATTTTCTTATACTTCCTAGTCATAGAGAACAGAACATTTGGTGAACACACAAAAAACCTTCATTAGCATGATAGATACCAGACTCTAAATGGAAAATTACCAGGGTGAGGTCCGTAACACTAATTATGCATCTTTAATTCCAAAATACAGAACTAAGACCAATGAAAAAGAAAGTATCCTCTTACCTTAGGGTCTCATTTTCTCCATCTTAATGCCAAACCTGTAATACCTAATCAAAACACTTCTTCGCTTTTCCTCTTTTTTTTACTAATGTACATACTACTACAACTTAAAAGGACATTTCCTAAAGTATCCTCTTTAGATATAGTGCCAAACCCGTAATACCTAATCAAAACACTTCTTTGCTTTTCCTCATTTTTTACTAATGTACATACTACTACAACTTAAAAGGACATTTCCTAAAGTATCCTCTTTAGATATAGCTGAAAAAAAAAATCAGACAATTCAAAGGCAAAGACAGATAGGAATAAATAAAGCATTCACCATAAAGAGCAAATATTACCTTTAGCAGGGTTTACTTTTATCCCTGACCTATACAGCATCTCCTCATTCTGCCAGTCCCCATTCCTGACACCAGTCTTGAGTCCATAGAAAACAATTAATGCAGCAGTGGAACAAAAAACCAAGTTCTTCAGAAAGCGCTTTTGGGCTTTGACATAAAGGGCCCTGACACCTACTGTAACCAGCAGGCAGAAGCCCATACTAGGAACATACAGCACACGCTCTGCTATTACAAAGCCAACATAGAAAAATAGGTTTGTGGCAGGAACAAAGGGCACTATTAACAAAGACAGAGACAGAATGACAATGTTCTCAGTTGAAGGAAGCTGCAGTTTCTGCATTTCGTGCTTTTTTATACCATTCTCTTCTTTTGATGCAAAGCTTGACTTCACCTCCAGTGTCTTGTACTCCATCTCCAAGTGGCAGCTATGCCCATTAGCATTCTGCTTGCCATTCATTACAGTTTTCCCATTGCATTCTCTCTCATTGCTGGAGCCCTTCAAGCTAAAGTAGGCAAGGAGGAGGAGTCCAGCATAGAAGGCCACAGTGTGTAGATTCCTCCAGTCGCTGACTGTTTTCAGAAGAGGCACGGCATCCATAGACCAGTCAAAGCTGAGTGTATCTGGGCACAGCAACAGCCAGAGGTTCTTGGTTGGCAGGTAAAAGAAGGTCAGTGTACGCGTGAGAAAACTGTCTGAGTCAGCTGCTGGATTGTCAGAATTGGAAAAACTTGGGGGCTTGTTGCCCATCCAGTACAAGCGGACACCCAGCAATGCAGTTCCCCAAAAGGTCAGTAAACCAATGCTGAAGAAGAGGGTCAAATTCTTTCTCTGGGGGAAAAAAAAAAAAATTAAAAAAAAAATCATCAGCATAAATCAACACCAGGTATTTAATTCTGTAAATTATAAACAAAAGGAACCAAGAAATATCTGATACAACTTTTTTATCGTAAAGGAAACAAGCACTACAGATCTCGGTCTTTGACATCTGCAACACAAAATGTTGGGTATGCTGTTGACCATAGACTAAAAGAACAGGTTCTTTCATTTAAGCTGTATCAAGCCTGCACCAGAGCCAAGCCTTTAGAGATCTTAGGGCTGTCAGTCCTTGCTTAAGATTAAGTTGTATAACCCTTTAAAAACTCTTTATTTTTGAGGAATTTATGGGATCTTACAATGGTTCCTACATAACCTCTCAAATCTCTTCTTTGCTCCTGGCTGTGACCAAAACATCAGTTTGCCTTAACCACATCTAACGTTTAAAGAATTTTCCAGTTCCAGTTTTCCTAATGGAAGTCTCTCCTAAGGTGTTCCACCTGAGAACTAAATAAACTTTCCAAGAAGGTAAGAGAGGAAAACCCACACGGATTCCATGTTTAGGTCTTCCAGCTCCTACCTTAACTACAGTGATCATCTGGCATCTTCAGATGTGCCTACTACTGAAAGCCCCACTTCATTTTGCATCTCACAGCCAAACAAGATGTTGGTTTTTTCTTTAAGCGCACCATACTAAATAAGTGCTGTAAAACCTTTCACATCTTCATACCCACCTAAATAATACTATGTGAAGCATGCAGCTGCCTCCACCTACCCATGTCATCATGCTAGCAACTTGAAGAACCTCCACTTATTTATGGAATAACTCGACATTTGCCAGCTGGAACGGTCTGTTGGGTTCCCCCCCGCCGCATCCGAAAACACTTACTTATTCAAACACTTGCAGAAACACGCCACTTCTGTCTGAATGAGAATTTTCTCACCTATTACTAGGACTGATGAGCTTAAGTTCTGCTCTCAATTACATGGGCACCCTAAAGGAAAGCTGTTTTGGGTTACTCTCTCTTTGCAGAATAATCTGTAAAAGCTAAAATATGTGTATTTTTATATTTCAATTTCTCAGATGCCTTTTGTAAGAAAAGAAAAACTATTTGCCAAATAGTTCCAGATACAGTGTAAGCACTTTGATAATCTTTTCCCCCATTATTACAAAGAATTATTTGCCAATCATTTTTCATTTTATTAGGTCTGTTTTTTCCATCTCACACTACACATTCCTGGGATGGTTATTCAATATTTCCTGAGTTATTCAGAAGCAGGACCTCACATTGGAATGTTTTATCTTATTTCTTTCAAACAACTCATTTTTCTCCTTTGTGGGGGACTCTCCCCTTGATATCACGAAATACAGATGATTGAGTTGCTCCACTTTAGGTCAATTATCAACAGTTTTCTACCGTTGGGTTACTGATGTTCCAGCAACGAGATATGGTCTAGTCATTATAAGTTATCTGCTTATCTCATGAAGAAATTTATTCCTTTTGACATTTCTATAGAGTCTGGCCTTGTGTAGTTCAAAATATTTAATGGCAATTAGATTAATTAATTCAATTTTGAGGCAATATGGAAGAATTCAATGGAGGTATTAGTAGGGGACAAACAAATCTATAATGAGAATATTTACGTACTTGTATCAGAACCACCTAAAATATGCTGGCACTTTTTATACATGAAGTAAAGCCTGAGTCCACGTATCTCATTTGCGATATTAATTCCAGTTTGATTTATTAGCTTTTGCATATTTCTATATCCTGGAAAATCAACATTTTTTTTGCAATAAATCAATCAAAACCTACGTCTACACTTTATGATGAATATATTCCCTGGAAAGCCTACTGTAACAACTTAGTTTTATTTGTAAGCTGGATAATACTTTGCAACTCATCTCAGACACTGTTTCATCTCTGCTTGCCAAGACTGTTTAAATGCTTTTAATGTTATAAGGCTGTGTAAACTGGTTATCACCAAAACTCCCAACTAAGTTTATATTTGAAATAAAAAGATTATTCAGATTCCATGGATTTGCATGTAGACCCTCATAGTAAAACCTTATGTCCCTGGTTCAACTTGTCCTTTCATTCCCAACATATTTTGCTACATGAAAATTTTTCTGACCATCCCCCTTGGCTCAATTATTTTCAAACTCGTTTCCTTCAAACATGCGTATAAACAACTCTCAAATGTTAAATGTGACTTTTTTTGCTCTTTCTATACACACTTTTACAGTCTCTTAAGAGGAGGCTGCTTAGATAGAAAGAGGCTGGGAAGTGGAAGATGGTTGGTTTGTTTGTTCATTTTAATTAGAAATTGAAGGCAGGTCTTTTCTGGAAGGCTATATACTACTCAAAAGATGAAGATATCCCAAATACTAAGCAAGTGAAACTTGATTAACAGATGAGAAGTGAGTTTTCACAGATTGCTTTGACTGCTTTATTATTTTGTTAATACTTAACAACTGGAAGAAAATCTCCCTTTCCTAAAGATCTAACCAATGCACTTTTCAATTAAATGCTGGGAAAGTTCACATTACAAAGTTCTGTAACAAAACCATTCTAGAGCAGATAAGCCATTCCTTGTGGATAACAGGGAAACCTGCTAAAAACTTTCAGATCTTCTTCATACATCATAAAACAGTAACAACGAAAAGTTTGCCTCTTGCTCCTAGCCCTAAAAACGTAAACAATCTGTACCTCAGGGCTAATCCATCCTTACTGCTAGAGGAACTATTTGCAGCCTCCCTTTTCAGTTTAGATGTAAGATCTGTAAGGTCTGGACCCTCACATGTCCCGGTTCTACAAAGAACACATCTATATGCAGTACTGTGTTTCATGCTTTAACAAAACTTTTTTAAAAAAAAAAATTTTACACTACTGTCAAATGAAATATCTAAGCATTCACTTGTGGAGCTCAGAGATATCAGAGTAGGTGGTTTTCCATACCAGCATATCAATTTATTGTGCTGTGAAATACCAGTCAACTAAAGAAGGAGTTCTGGTGGATTCTTTAGCTTAATTAACTGACTACAGGATAGGAGTGCAAAAACCCTCTTGTTGCCTCAGACACAAACGGTTTGCATCCTTCCCCAGAAACTATTTGAGACATGGATCCTCTCAAAAGCCAACAGCTTTACATCTTTTTAAAATTAACTATACTTTAACTATGGTGACAGTTACCAATAACCTGTGTAACACTGACATGTCATGGTGAATTTTCAGATTTCAGAGGAGATCCTCTGGACTCAGTCCAAAACCAAGACTAAAACTATCCCTAACACTTAAACTTCTGTCACAAAAATTTAAAGTACGATGCCTTTTTTTTTTCTTTTTTTGTTTAAATCAGACATAGATAGCTCTGGCTCAGAAGGGGAATGACAAACTCATTCCCCTCTACGCCTCCCAACAACCATGACTTTTGCACAGCTTTTATCCCTCTGTACTAGTATAGACAGAGAAAATTAGAAAGGTTTAGCTCACGTTTTGGCTTTACTTTTTTCCAGGTTTTGTATAGCAAACTAAAGGGAAAAAAATAATCCTGGTTACAGCAATTAATTAAAATTAACTATAATCAGCTCCCCAGTAGACTTTCACCTGCAAAGAAAGTGCTTTCAAAGTGAGCTCTGCTCAGACAAGCACTTTCACTAGCAACTCCTCCTCTGAGCCTCCTGACAGCCTGTGCTCCTCTGACTGTGTACATTTAGTGTAGCCCAGCAGCAGGAAGAGATCCTCTGTAATGCCTGGCAGAAAGGATTTGGATTACTACACTCAAGAGTCCTAATCCAGCCCATCTGCCATATGTTTTGGCACCCCCATAAATCCTCTAACCTTTCATAAGTAGTCATTTTCATCTGGGGAAAAAAATGAGCACTGATTTAGATCAGATTTAACATCTCTCCAGCCTGCTAACAGTCAAGTACCACCACTGCAATTTTAGTGTTTGTGACTGCAGAAACCTTTTTCATCTCCCTACCAAAATCCATCTGCATGACCCACCCACATTGCACGTTTCCCTTGCATTAAATCCTAATTCCTCACTTCATTATACTGCTCTTAAATAAAGCACTGCAGCAGCTTTCTTGATTGGGCAGCCCCTGCCAAAGCTCAGTCATCACCTAAGCGGTATCCAAAGCATTTTCAAAAGACACTATTCTTTTAACCTCACCTTGTCCATTTCACAAAGCAGCATTAAATACAGCACATGGTCAAGACAGTCCAGATATCAAAATCACCAGGGCTAACCACACACTAAATGTTATTTTTAGAACTCAGGACATGCAGAGAAGTGGGTAAGTCACCCGGCATTACTCACAGAAGTTTCTTTTCCAACTTAGAGCTCCTTCAGACTATGTTGGCTTGAGAACTGGGACTTCCCGAAGTAGTAAAACACTGCCAAATCACTAGACTGACAGTATCTTGTTTCCACAGTAGGTAGAGACTCCTGGATCACAGCTCAGCTGAGTTTGAGCTGAACTAGAATTCAAAATGTAACCCCAGCAGGGACAAAGCTATTTGCCACAGCCCCTGCCAGGTCACAGTACTGAGCTGGAAGTGGCCTTTACCGCTCCCTCCCCACCTGCCCACTTTGCTCCTGCTCGCATGACCCACTAAATGAGGTTCACTCATTTCCACTGGTGATAGAGCAACAGCTGGCCTGAAGGTCTGGTTTTCTTCTAAGTTGGAACTCTGTCTATAGCTTATCCAATTACCCAATATTATCACCAACTGTACATATTTAATGACATTTACTTCTAGTGTTATGAACCCACACAATTCTTCCTCAACAAGGAAGTCAGTGCATTCATAAAACAGCTGACGATTATGTGTACATATTTTTATTGTAACTAGCAAGTAGCACAAGCTAAGCAGTCCTTATTGCTGTTGACTCGCCTTACTAAAATTTAAATTGAGTTGTAAATACTGGCACTTAAAATTGCCCAAAGTCTTCCTCTAAAATCTTTAATATGAATCTTTAAATTAAAAACACCTCTAACCTCTC